CCAGAGCTACCAGAACATACGAGTACAGGGTATCACGCTATGTCCACCAGTCAGGAATTTCAGGTCATGCCTGTTTCATGTAAGCCTGAATATTAATCAGTTGTAATGATTCTAAATGTCTTCTGGCCTTTTTAATGAGGTGTGAAAGCCAAACCCTGATCTATTGCTGTAAGTATAGTGAGGGTAAGGAAATTAGCGTGAAAATTATGATAGAGTTTTAGTTCTGCTACTAACTATTGGTTTGGTTTTGGTAAGAGATTTATCTTTTTGCCTTGATTTTTCTCATATTTAAAATGGAGATGATACCGCTTCACAGAGGCTGTAAAGATCAACCTTGATAATGTAAATAAGCACTTAATGTGAGCTTGAGCTCTCCATAAATGCTTGCAAAATTATGATCTGAATTTAACACACGCTAGTCTCTTGTTAGAATGTGGTTGGAAGGTTTAACATTTGGGTGTGAAACACATTTGGATCACTCTGGTAAACATAAGTTGAAAATTAAAGTGAAACTATTTTATTTGATAAATGTGGGAGGTGAGTCATAAACTTTGAGTCATATTGCTTTCCAAATAAATCAAGTAAATTAAACAAATATGGAACTGTGTCTTGTACTTTGGGTCTGGCAAAATTTTTAAGAAAGAATTCTTCAAGGAAGACAAGAAAGGGAGAGAGGCTACGGGAGGACAGCCAGGAGGGAGGAAAGGAGATGACAGAATTAGGCATCGAGAGGGTGGAGGAAGGCAGTTTTTAAAAAGAATGTCACCTTTTAATTTAAGAATTATTGAGGAATTTTTTAAAGCTCCTTTGACCATTTCTAAAAAGCTAATCACTTCTAAAGGATAGTTTTGCTCATGATTATATTTTTCATTTATCATCGGGGGCTGCATGTTTATAGATGGCTTTCAGAAAGCCTCTACTGTGGCTGCCCAATTCTTGCTCAGAAAGAAACATTAGTTCCCAGTCAAGAGATACTAATATTTGGACAAAAACATAATGTATGAAAATTTAAGCCTGAAAATTCCAAGTTGATTGCTTCTAGCAGGTCCCTTGATTGTTTACATGACAACCTACATGAAATACAATTCCTTTACTCATTATGGGTCTGAAAGAGAAACAAAGCATTAAGACCAAGAAGGGCAATAGTTACAGGATAACGGAAGGCCATGCTGATGGTTCTTTTTGGCATCAAGGTAATAGTGACAAAGTCCTATGTCCTCAGGCTCTCGCGTGGAGCGGGAAGATGAGCAGTCCTGGGAAGGGAGTCCAATCAACAGGAAAGCAGAGCCTAGTGGGTTCTGAATGATGCGGGCTTCGTGGGGCAAGTAGGTTAAATTTTGAATGTTCTGACTTTCAGAAACTTTAGAACTGAGAAATAAAAAAAAATAATAAAACTTTTTGGAGACATAAATGACATGGAAATTCATTTCGGCAGGGCTAGAGAACTACCATGAAATGTTTCAAAGACATATGAGTAAAAGTGGGGTCATTTTAAGCTTCTTGCCTTTTTCTAAGGTTCCTTCTCTTATTTGTTAGAAAACGCTGTTTTGGGTTTGTTTGTTTGTTTTGAGTTTTTGGTATAAAGAAGTTCTTTAGTCTTTGTTTGAATGCCAACAGAAAAGCAGAAATATCCAACGTGTTCCTAACTCCTTCAAACGACCTAACACTGGCAGCATCCCCCTGGGAGGAGAAACAGGATGACCATGTTTCTGTTTGTACAGATGCTTACAGCCCTCCCAACATGCATTACCTGCTCCAAGCCAGCCAGCCGAGGGCTTTAAGACAACATTTGTCCTTGAGTTACCTCCTGCGCTCAGAAAAGGCAGCAAGTTGCTAGACAATGTCACAGGCACAATGAAACAGCTGCAGCTGTGGATAAGAAAGTACAGACCTTAGTGTCGCACTCATTCGGCCTGAAGCCCATGGACTCTGATTTCCTGGCAGTGGCCTTTCCACTTCAAGCAAAAAGACTCTTTGACTCTCAGGCAGCCCCTAAAACCCATTATCCTTCCAGATCTCATCTGAACCCCAAAGCTCGTCTAGAATCTGATTGCCTCTGTGGACTCGGTCTTGTTTCCTGCCCTACCACTTCTTCTGAGCAGACTGCTTTATTGATGGTGTGTCCAAGAATGCTTCTGGACTATAACTGAGCTGTGTTCCTTTCTTGTCTGTGCGAGGTCATGGATTCTCTGGCTTGGCCAATGCACTGAAAGAAGTCCAGCCCACACCAAACCTTAAAACTCTTGATTTGCTTGCACATACTGAGCTTATCTGATTTCCATTGTGTCTTTTTGGGAGATGCTTCCTGCTACTCTGATGGGACCTTAATAGCATGGACTTTCTCAGGATCCAAGACAGCCCTGGCCCTTGGGTCAGTTGCTCCAGATGGGAGCAGGTTGCCTGCATGCACTCTGTATATTGAAAGAGGGCAGTTCAAACCCACCGGCTTTTCTTTGTCTTGATGATTAGGAAGAAGCCCAGCTCTTCAGTGGTTTGGAGGTGGAATACCCATTCACATGCCTTGGCTGGCTGAAGATGTGATTGGAGAGTCGCCTCACCTCCTGGCCCCTCTGCCTCTTTTAGCCATAAGTGTTCCAAACACTTTATCCCATTAAAACCCAGCAGTCAACGGGAGCCAGGTAGTAGCTGTTTATCACAAGGGACCAGAAATTTGCTTCAAAGTTTGAAAAGGGGTGACATGAAGTCTTGAGTACATGAAAGTGTTTAGGAATCCTCTGTCCTTACATGATCTCAAAAGTCTCTTTTGGCTCTGAACCTGTATGAAGATTCCAGATGATGACAGCTCAAAAAAGAAGCCTGGCATTTTCTAACAAATGAGAGAAGAGCCCTAGAAACAGGCAAGAAGCCTGCTTACATGATGAATAAGTATTTAATAATGACACGGTGTGTAAACTAAGTAGATGCAGCCAACTCAGCAAATATTTAATGAGCACTCACCGAGAACACCTCAGATGTAGGTACTGGAGATGCAGCAGCATCTGCACGCATGGCGCCTTCACTCTGAGACCAGGCTGGGGATGTGACAACCCACAGGATCTGCGTGACCTTGCTGCTACTTCCTAAAGCCTCTGTGTCCTCCCTCAGTCTGAAGTCAGGAAGGATGCTGTCTGAGAAATGCACTGATCGAACTGAACCCAAATTACCTCCAATTTTCTGTTTCCTCCTCTTGACTGATTGGATAGAGTGTGCATCTGAGTTTCCTTGAAGCTCAGCCTAATTATTTATCAACTGCTCTTGTTTTTCTTTTGAGCTAGTTGGACCAATTGTAGGTTTTTGTATGTATCTATTATGTACAGTCTTTTGGCCATTTTTACAAAACCATATAATACTAGGTCCTTCTACGTGACATGAAGCAACAAGGATCATAGTAAACAGTTATGTCGGGAGCTTTTACCTTGTACCAAACATAGTTGGGCCAAAGCATTTGGCTAAATGACCTCATCAGACCTTAGGAAACCTTTAAGGTAGGTAGTATTAGCATCATCTCCTTTTGCAGCTCTGAGAAGTTAGTGAAGAGGCCACAGGTTATATGGTTAGTACAGAAGTTATCGATCTGTACCAACTAGGAAAATTCAGATATGTGGCTTGTCATGTTATAGTATGAAAATTTGCCTTCCTTTTTATGACTTTTGAGTGGTTTAAATTGAAGTGAGAAATACTAGTCAGAATCAGATTTTCCATCTGGCCATTTTTCGGTCTTGAGCCATTGCTGTTTTCTATGAATAAGAATGTTTCTTTCCTTTTGCTGTCGCCTCAAAAATTAGGAAGGTGGCACTTCCACCGAGGAAGTATGAGATACTTCTTTCTCTGTGGTCCCTGAGGACTTCATCAGCACAGCATGCGTCAGATAGATTATAAAATGTTTGCATTCGTATTTGTCATCATGCAAAGGTGCGAGCACCCTGCAGTCCCAGCCCACCTGCTTCTCTCTCCCTGAATCCCTGGGGCTGGACACATGCACAGCAAATGTTTGCCGAATACATTCAGAAAATGCCTTATTCATCCTAGTTTCCTTTAGTAGCTTATTATATATTCATAAACTCACTGAAATTATCTTTGAAGCTTACACAAAACTTGTACTACTTTATAAGTTAGCCAGCAGTATAAGCATACTATCTGCTTGACAAAATTGTGCTATTTTGTATTTGTTGTAAATACCTTTCCTGGACTTGAACCCTTGTATGCTGTTGATAGGAATGTAAGTTGGCATATTTATTATGGAAAATAATATAAAAGTTCCTCAAAAAATTAAAAATAGAACTACCATGTAACTCAGAATAAGTCTTCTGAGTATATAAGGAAATGAAATCAGCACTTTAAAGAGATATATTCATGTTCATTGTAGTGTTACTCAAGAAGCCAAGCTATGGAAGCAGGCTAAATGTCCATGAACAGATGAATGCATAAATAAATATGTATGTACATATAATGAAATATTATCTGGCATTAAAAAAAGAAATTTTGATATTTACAGCAACGTGGATGAACCTGACAGACTTTACATGAAGCAAAATGCAGACAAATAACATAATGCATAATCTCACTTACCTATGGAATTTTAAAAATAGAATTGGTCAAAACAGGAGTAGAATGGTGGCTAGCTGAAGTCAGGGAATGGGGAGAATGGGGAGATATTAGTCAAAGACTACAAGCTGGAGTTACAGGGTGAATAAGTTCTACACACCTAATGTATACCATGGTGACTGTAACTAGTAATGTATCATACAGGGGGAATTTGACAAGAGTAAAATTGAGGACTCACCATATGCACAGAAGGGTAACTGTAGGAGGAGATAGAAATGTTAATTTGACCATAGTAATCATTTTGTTATCCATATGTATATCAAAACATTATGTATGTACTCCTTCAATATAAACAGTTTTTAGGGAAAAACTTCATGGAATTATAACAACATCATTTCAAAGCAGTGCCTTCCTTGCACCATATGATTTTTTTCATGATTCTTCATGTTTTTCAGGAAGGTGAAGTCTGGCCCAACTCATCAACTGAAATCACTGTGTACTTTAATCCTGTAGAGGCCAAGATCTACCAGCAGACCATTTACTGTGATATTTCAGGTACAGATTTCCACTGTGTGATAAACTCAGGCTTTCAGGGGCAAGAGCATAAAGCGGGGCACACGTGTGTGCATGTGTGTGTTCAAGCCATGGCACTGTACAATCTCAAGAAAAAGCTATAGAATTCAAGCCATGAATGTTTCACTTCTTTCTAGACAGATCAGACTTTAAAATACCTTAAGAGTTGTGCTGGTGGAAGAGGAGAATGAGGAAACTATAAATCTGGGTTTCCCCTTCATGCTTAAAGCAGTTAAGGTGATTACTTGTGTGGTGCTTTTTGTGTGCCTCATAGTACCTAGCTACTAACTTTTTCTTTTCAAGATTTTATCAAAATTATGCATGTTAAGTGGGCTGAGAAAGCAATCTGATAGAGATTAGGTCCCAAGGAAGATATACAGATAGTGTTGCAAACTGATGGAATCAGAGAATTTGACACATTCAGAAGAATTAAGCAGAAAAGTAAATATACAGACAATGGTGGAGTCTACGGCCATACCACCCTGAACGTGCCCGATCTCGTCTGATCTCGAAAGCTAAGCAGGGTCGGGCCTGGTTAGTACTTGGATGGGAGACAATGGTGGAAGATGGTATTTTCCACCCATGATGGAGAAAGAAACAAATATGGGAAGGAGGGTGGCACAGATAAAACCTTTACCACTGGGATAGAATTAGAGTTATCAGTATAAATTCACAGTTGTTGATATGTTTACATAGATACAGAAAAATATATATGTAAATGTATTCATATGTGCATACACAAATACATTTCTTTGCTGTGTTCACTGGAGGAGCTGGAAGAGTGAGGACTCTAACGGGGAGCAGCAAACCAGCCAGCCAAAGCTTAGGATCAGATTACCACTCCCCAGCAAAAGGAACTCGGTGTTTCTAGGGCTGAGGCAGGGAAAGAACTGTGAGCCTTCCTCTTAGAACAGAAATTAAGGAAATACTCAAAGAGACATGGAGACATGTTAAAAGGACACAAAAGACAGCAGAAAGACTCCCACTGCCCAAATGCAGAACAAGTTGAGAATTGAAAGACATTATGCTACCAATCGATTATAGTTCATTCAATAAATGGGCACTTATGAATCCACTCAATTAACAGGTGTCATTTGACAATCATCAGATAAAAAGCATCAGTGGATCCTAAAGTAATGAATGAAAGTGGGGTGTGGGAAAGGATTTTGTGTTGTCTTAAAATATCTTCCCTCAAAGTACTTTCCAGTTATAAAGTGGAGAAGTCACACTTTGAAGTGAAGCAGCTGGGTACCTGTTATCATAGCAGCAATGACCAGAGCAACCCCTCGGACCACCCCGTTAGGATACAGTGAGAATCCTGTCAATCATGTTAAGGCCAAACTACCTAACTGGGACTAAGCAAAGGAAACTCAGGCAAACAAAATCGAAGAACAAAATGAAAGAACTGGCCTGTGATCTTCACAAAAAACATTAGTGTCAGGAAAGTCAAGAATTAATGGAAGAACTGTTCCAGACTAAAGGAGGCTCAAGAGAGCACTCACCGAGTACGGCATGTGATCCTGCCCTGGGTCATTGCCTACAAAAGACATTTTGGGCAAGGCAGAGGAGGAGGTCCTTTATCTTTCCTGGAAATTCTTGTGTGCTTTAAAAATGTTCCAGAATTAAAAAAAAAAATCACTGCAAACAGATAAATAAAATACGTAGGTAGTAAAATTATAAAGCGAGTCTATTTCTCCATTACTTCTTTCAAGATGAAACCCTTTCAGCTATTTCTTGTTTTAATAGTTTCCCTTGATATCTCTGTGCTTATTGTTGCTATTCATTGATTTATTAACTTCTCAAGTTGCTTTTAATCTCCCGTATGAAAGATGAGAATTTAGAGTACCTAACATCTTCTCTTCCTCTTTCTGAGCTAATTGAGTTACTACTTACACACAGTAAAGTTTGCCCTTTCTTGGAGTACAGATCTGGTAGGTTTAACAAACTTGATTAATCATGTAACCGCCACCAAAATCAAGGTATATAAAAAAATCTTCACCACCCCTTAAATTTCCCTGGGGCCTCTATACAAGCAAGCCTACCCCCTGCATTGGCCCATAGCAATTGAATTATTTTTATTATATTGTTTATGAGTTTTATTTACAGACAAATAATAGCCCAAAACCTGAAATTTTTGTTCCCACAACATTGTGTCTCTTGACTATTAAGGAAACTGGCACCCCTAACCTGCCCACCAACATTACATTACCTCTTTCCTTCTGATTTCAGTCAGTTGTCCCATTTTTACAATATCTTTATTATAAAACCATAGTTAATTGATAAGCATAGTTAAGTCTATTTACTCTACAAAGCCTTTATTCACTAACGGGCCCCGTGTGCAGGGATTACATTTTATCCTCTATTGATTGGTCCAGTGTTTTGACCTTTAGTCATTTAAAGTATATCTCTAAGGTCAAGTGAGTTATTTCTTTACAATTCACTTTATGATTATGGCTTATGTTATTTTACTCCATAAATTTCTCTCTTTGGTGCAGTTTTTGGTTTTCTTCCTTTGTGGTTTCTACTTCTTTATTTTCCACTCCTAATTTAGAGTTTATTCTTTTCTTCTCTTTGAAGACATTTTTCTTAGAGACAGCCAGCTTCTTATTGCAATTCAGATACATCACCTCCTGAATCCTTTTATTCAGGAATTTTAAAACTCACAAAACATGTATGTCTATTGCTTTACATCTCTCTCTCTCTCTCTCTGTCTTCTCAAGAAACTTCTTTGGTAGGGGTGTGTGGAAGTAGAAACTTCGATCTGTGAGTGCCTGAAGTTGTCTTCCTCTGCCCTCATATTTGCAATGGTAGTTGAGCTAACTTACGATCCTAGCTGAAAAACCATTTCTCCTTAAAATATTGAAGACATCATGCCAAATTTGTTATAAAACTTCCAAAGTATGAAGATCCTCTAAGTCTCATTATTTTATAGGTGCCCTGTCATTTCTCTCTAGAACATTTTGGGATTTTGTTGTTGTTCTTTGGTGCTTGGAGTCTGAAACATGGTGGAGCTTTGGTCGAAGTGGGCTTTTCTTCTTCATTCCCCTCGGTGTCCCATGGGCCATTTGAGCGATGACTCATGCGTCACTGCGGCTCTGGGAAACTCTATTTCTTAAATATCTTTACTTCATTTATTTTTTATTTTATTACTTTGAAAAACTATTCAATATAAAGTCTGAAAGATCTATCATCAGAAAACAAGATCCTGGTCACCAAATGCCACTAACAAATGATAGTAAATATAATTCAAAGTTATTAAACAAGGATGCCCAGAAAAATACTGCTGTTTATGGGTCAGGAACCCCCAGAGGGCAGAGTACTCTGCAGGGACAGCTCTCCTCAGCTACCAGCAGACCCGCAGCGAGCCCTTGGGTGGAATCCTCGTAGGAGTACAGGGCACTTCCCTGCATTCAAATCCACTGGGGCCATACTGCTATTTGCTTACTCATCCTGGCAATTTTTCCTTTTATGCAGACAGAAACATCTTCTAGTTACTCTTCGACCTAATTTTCTTTCCCTTTGCAGTTGAGGCCTGTCTTTTCAAGAAAATATTTTGCCACAGTGGTTTCAGGATATCATGCGTTTTGGCATTGTCTTGCAAAGGTACAAGTATTACTCAAACACTTAGAATATTTTTGGTTTCTCTTTTTCTCTAATTTGCAGTCAGATAAAGTAGGGTCAAATGCTATGCTTTAGTATTTGCCTGTTGCCGTATAAGAAACTGGACTCAATTTCTATTCTGACAAACTTCTAAGACATCTTTTATCTCTGCCATCATATTTTGGTTTTTGTTCCCTTCTATAGCTAATTATTCTTTTATAGAAGTGATTTCTTCTCATTGATGTGAGGATAATAATTTGCACTTTCCTTTATTTAAAAGAATATCTTCTGTGAATTGCCTGCAGTGTCAGTTATGTTAGTTCTCTATGTTTTCATAAAGTTCCTTCCAATTGTTTTCCAACCCATAGGTGTCCATTCATATTCAGAATGAGAGCAGGTGTTTAATTTTGAAAGTAGCCTGTGCCACATGACTCTTTGGTACTCACAGATTCCCAACTAAAGTCTGGCTGCCGTAGTTACTTTAAAACCTAGAGACTGAGAATCACTGAAGTCCTTCCCATTGCAAAACTTCCATCCTTCTGCCCTACCCTGCATGTTTTCAGTCACATCTGTGCAATCACCTTCCTCTGTGCAGAAAGAGTTGGACAGGTTAAGCATGTGCAGAAGACCCAGACTACCTCCCCAGGTGTGTGTCCATTCTGATGGTGTTTCCCTCACCTTCCCTGGATGTAACCATCACCTTGAATTTTATGAGCCTTTTCCTTGCTTTCATATATACTTTTACCACATATGTATGTATCCTGAAGTAAAATAGTATCATTTTGGTTGTTTCTGCATTTCTTAATTTGGAAATCATAATGTGTGTCTTCTGCTGCGAGCACCAAGAAAATGAAGCTATTCGATCAAAATTAAAAGGAGATAATAACTAAAAAATGAATAAATGGGCGAGTGAATCCTAGTTCGATCTGATCTCTTCTTTGAGCATGAATGTGTGGTTCTCAAAACAGCTCCAGGATGAACCTAGAATGGACTGGGAGTTTCTGGATTCACGTGAATTTATATCCACACTTCAGGCCAGCATCTTCTACACTGGGCTTCTTAATGGCCTTGAAAGAAATGTTGGTCCATCTGTGTTTGGACAGAGGCTGGAAATGCACCAGCAGAACCTCGTGTCACAGGTGGTGGGACCTCCCTCCCTCTCTGGCTCCCCAGGGACATTGTTCGTGCTTGGCCATACTCCAAGGGGTTGGCTGCTCTCCAGGAGGTTCCCAAACCTTACACAACTGGTTATATTCAGCTGTTGTTTTGTTTGCAGTTCTGAATTCTGCCACAGAATTCACATCCTGGGTAAACCGAATGGTATAATTTTCCATCTGCATGACATTTTTCTTTATTTTGTTAGTGGTTTATTAAAAGATAGG